AGCAACGTTGCTGTAGTTACAACAATTTCAAATTCAAGACATTCGAAGCAATCAAATTTGTATTAAATTTTAAAAATAAAACAGAGAAACATGAAAGGAAACAAACAAAACGAAAATGAATTGATTATTCGTCGGGCTGTTTTCGATATATTGAATTCTGAATTACGATAAACATTTTAGAAATTTCTTTTTTGTGACCTTATCAATAATCAATTCATTTGTGTTTTGTTTGTTTCCTTTCATGTTTTTCTGTTTTATTTTTAAAATTTAATAAGAATTTGATTGCTTCGAGTATCTTGAATTTGAAATTGTTGAAACTACGGCAACCTCGCATGACGCAAGCTCGACACGCCGGCGCGACAAAGAAGTAGTGAGCAATTACCAACCAGTGATGCGTGGCTGTCTTGGCCGACGGTTGGACTGTTGACGGAATTGTCGAAATACATCGAAAAAATAGCGAAAAAGCAAAATACGTATTTAAAATTGTTGAGTGAAACATGTATTTTCTTAGATTGACAGTAGTTCGTAAAGTGGCGGTAAGAGACATAATTCTCAACATTTATTCATTCAGAAAGATATTCAAAGTAATGTGTAATGTGTGCTTTTCAAGGTGTTTTGTAAATCAGTGGTTCAAATTGTGATGAAGCCTATACGAAAATAATGTGTTAAGTTAAAAATGGGGACTGTTATTTTAGCAGTTTTTATAATAGCACGTACAAGTAAGCAGCACAATGAAGTGTATTTTAGTTAAGTGTGTATCGAAAAAGAGAACTGTCGCAGTTACATCGATCTGTCATAAGTATCTTTTTTAATGTTGGGTAAGTTTTTTAATTTAACTTTTAAACATTTAACTTTTAATTTATTTTATGTAATAATATCACAATCTTAAAAATGTAATGCATCTCTGCAAACTCCTCAGGTGTTGTGATTTTATGACTTACTTGTAAACATATACTTTCTTGTCCATATGGCAACACACACTACAAATCCGGGCTTGATCCGGGTAATTGGATGTGGCAATATCTGCCGGCGGTTCTCAAAATGTTGCGATTATTTTTATAAATTTTCAAAGTTAAATAACTTGGTTATTTTCAATTTATTTTAAAAATGGTAAAGAGAAAATATGTTTATTTTGACCAGATCTACCACCCCTTAAAATATCTGCACTCATTTCTGGGACACCCTGTATAACAAATCAAAAAAATATTAAACTTTAGACTTTAACACTCTGTAGCTACGAAACAAAGCAGAATCGGATCTATGTTGATATGAAAAATCTTAATCTTATTTAATAGAAATACAAAAATTAATCTTATTTTTACGCAAGGAATCTCCCCACGAGAGATGGCACTTGTTTTTCGAAACACCCTGTATATTTTTAACTTCAAAGTTAAGGAATATAGTAATTTATTGATGCTTTATAACCGAGTTTATAACTGATTATAGTAAAAACACTTCTTTATATTTTTTTTAAATACGCTCTATATCCAAAATCGATATTTTTGGAATATATTTTTTTTGAAAATGAAACAAATGATCAATTTGTCTATAAGTTTTTCTTTTTTTTATTCATAGAATAAATATTTTTATTTGGCACATAAGTAAAGACGGTTTAAATAGCACGATAGCCATGATATTTAATATGTAACGGCCATACCACGTTGGCGCACCAGTTCCCGTTCGATCACTGAAGTTAAGCAACGTCGGGCGCGGTTAGTACTTGGATGGGTGACCGCTTGGGAACCCCGCGTGCCGTTACTTTTTTCTTATTTTTTATTCAGTCCTTCCATCATTAATCAGTATTTAATATTTTTTTAAGTACATATTTAATTTTTTAAGTATTTTTTATCGTTTTTCTATATTTTTTTTTATTTTGATTTATCAAAAAACAAGCGTTTTGATACCTTACCTATTATTAAACGGCCACCACACCACTCGCCAAATACTTCTGGATGCCTACTCGATTTGAATCTCAAATTTTCGAAACCGATTTTATCACGTGCTTTTTTGCGTATCTAATTAACACAATTGTTTCCACAGAGACGTTCAGGAAGTTTACAAATGGAAGGCTGTGAATTATTGCATTCAGTCTCAACTAAAATAACCGATCTCTGATTAATTAATTTTATTTTTTTAATGACGCCAAATGACTAATTTATAGCAAGACAAACTTTAAAAGTTGTTTGTTCGGGTTCTTATTTTCGAATCTTCAATGAATTCAAATAATTCCGTAAAAAACAGAGAATTTTTGGAATTTTGATCACTAAATTCATTGATTCTATTTTGATCCATCTAGTACAAGCTTATTCAACCATTTCCAGTTATGGTGTAGTCTTCCTTACATACTCTCAGGGGCTCAGGTTATCCCTGCTAATTTCCTAATATCATGGTCCCATCTCAGGTTCGGTCTTCTTCTACTCTCCTCCCTTCTGGACCGCTCCTTTAGTCTCTGGAAAGTCAATCCATATCTGTTTCCGCTGACTTCCGACTACTGGTATCAAAATATATATACTGTTATTGAAAATCGAGTTAAAAGTTTGCAAGAAAAAATTGAAGAAAATGTGGAAAAAGACGTCGACGATGTGGGCAAAAAGAAAAAGCTGGCTTTTCTGGATCTCCTGCTTAATTCAACAATAGATGGAAAACCATTGACTAAAGAAGATATTCGTGAAGAAGTTGATACATTCATGTTTGAGGTAGTGATGAGATGATGATCATCATCATCATTTATTCAACCATTTCCAATTATGGTTGCGATCACATATTTAGATACTCTCTTTGTAGTTGGCTCAGTTTGGGTCTTATTCTAGGTCTCTTCGTGGGTACCATGCTGTAATTCTTGTTGTCCATCTGTTATCCGTTCTTCTTGCCAGGTGTGCTGCCCATTGCCATTTGAGGGATTTGACTCTGTGAATGACGTCTATTATCTGGGTATTTTGTCGTATCCACTCTATTCTTTTACTGTCACTCTTGGTTATCCCCAGCATATTTCGTTTCATTGCACGTTGTGCGACCTGCAGTTTCCTTATGATGTCCGTTTTAAGTGTCCAAGTTTCGCATGCATAGGTCATGACAGGTAGTACACATTGGTCGAATGTTTTCTTAGATAGAGTGGCATTCTAATAATGATTGAGTTTCCTCCATAAGTACTCCATGCTAACTTAATTCTTCTGTTGATTTCTAGTAGTAGAGATTTCGAGCTATGTATTAGTTGTCCCAAATATATATATATATATATATATATATATATATATATATATATATATATATATATATATATATATATATATATATATTAGATTTTAATATGATTGAGTTTCCTCCATAAGTACTCCATGGTAACTTAATTCTTCTGTTGATTTCTAGTAGTAGAGATTTCTGAGCTATGTATTAGTTGTCCCAAATATATATATATATATATTCTTCTACTATTTCCAGTGTTGTGTTATTTGTTATGATGTTTTTTCTTTCCACTAGTTCGTTCTACATTACTTTAGTTTTTGCTAAATTCATTGTGAGACTCACTTTATTGCTGACTGTATTTAGTTCATTAATTTGTTCTTGTAGTTTTTTAGGACTATTGGCAATTAGGACTATGTCATCAGCGAATCCTCGATGGTTAAGATATTCTCCATCTATTTTTAATCCTTTGTTGGTCCAGTCCAGTTGACGGAAGATTTCTTCTAATATTGCTGTAAATAAACAGTGTAAACAGCTTTGGGGATATCGCGTCTCCCTGTCGTACTCCTTTATCAGCTGGAATATACAGGACGAGTCTTAAATAAGTGCAAATATTTTTAGGGGTAGTATATTTCGACCCCAGAAAAACGATTATGAGGTATTTTTCGCGAAAAAAAATGAGAATTTCGAATTTTTTGAAAAAATGTTTGGACATTTTTTTTAGTTTTTAGTTAAAATATATAATTTGTTGATAATATGGCAATATAGGTAGTTGATTAAATTTTCAAGGAAGGTAATCCAGAAAAGGTCCAGTTATTCTCAAAATTTTAGCAAAAAATCATTTTATTTTGGAAATTTTCAAAGTAAAATATTATTTTACTGTTATTTTAGATTTATTTGAGAAACAGTAAAGAGAAAATATGTTTTTTTATGGAGATCTACCAGCACCAAAAATATTTGCCTTATTTAAGACTCTCCAGGAATATCAGCTTAACCAGGCCTATTCGGTAAAAAAATTTCACACCCTAAATTTGAAAAAAATATTAATCCAACATGACATTTTAAAATAATTTCAATTTGTTAAGTTGGCCAAGGTATTGCTAAAACTCAAATGGGTAATATTTCAATATATAAACATGAATTTTTTGCATTGTAGTTCATTCACATTATGATTGTAGATCTTATGTTTACCTTTTCAACTGTCAAAAAATTTCCACTAAAGTTTCGTGGCGCCTCGAAAAAATTTCCGGAATTTTTTTCAGTTGCCATGGTAACTAGTCAACATTAAAGCATGTTATTGGTTGAAAAGTAGAGGTGTGAAATTTTCAAAGTAAAATATTATTTTACTGTTATTTTAGATTTATTTGAAAAACGATAAAGAGAAAATATGTTTTTTTATGGAGATCTACCAGCCCTGAAAATATTTGCACTTATTTAAGACTCACCCTGTATATCAACATAACCAGATGGTAATTAAAAAAATATCATTGTAACAACAGATATTTTAAGGAACGTCTATGGTTACTTACTTTACTGAGCTTTATGAAAAAAAGTCCTTTGACTCGAGCTTAAAACCGACATGATATGAAAGTCTCTCGATACAAAACCAAATTGAACCAGACGAGACGAGACAAAATTAAACGAGAAAACACTATATAAATAACCCTCTTTACTATTCGATCTTGACCTGCTTCGGCTTACTTCGCAAATAGTGTAGATGTCGTTTTTAAGTTTAATAAAGAAAAAATAAAATAATTTTAAAATTCTTGTTACATCCCCTATTAAATGTATAAAAATCTATGTAATTTTTATATTTTTAGGCAGACGGAACATGAGACTCATTATCAATATAATTGCCTGTTTATGTTTGATCCTGCTTCCAAGAGTTCTAACCGAGCAATGTTCTCATACTATAGTCGAGAAGAATCTGACAATCCATTGTAATAATTTGTCAGTAGAAGAATATCTGGACAACATGTTCGAAATGAGAGTTGACATCGGGGATTTCCTGCAAGACAACAGCACAAATATCAGCATAGAATTAGATCAAAACAACTTTACTCACATCGATGAATGGATCTACTTACCATGGGAGGAGCGTTTAGAGAACATTTTTACTTTAAGAATAACCAATTCATCTATAAACACCGTCAGATCTTTATCGAAATTTCGATTTTTAGAAACCCTAGATCTCAGTAGCAATAACATTTCTGACTATAACTTCCTAAACAGAATGAAAAGGTTAAAATACTTACATTTAGGTTATAATAACTTCTCAGATGATAGCTTTTTATTCGATTATATCCGAAGGGAAACTACTAACTTAACTAAACTAGATCTACGTCATAGTAACATAACAAACTTTACCATTCCATACGGGGTTGTAAATGGTTACGATTTAAGTTACAACATTAATTTAAAAATGATACTTTTTGAAAACACTCCTCCAGATATTCGATTAAATTTAAACCTTAGTGGTAACACGAATCTCACTGTGATCAAAAACAAAGTGTTTGACAGTTATTACATTTGTTTGTCCAGCATTGACCTGTCGAACTCCCATAATAATTTTAGCGATATACTTAAGAATGTTCGTCCATCACATAGCATTTCGTTAAAAAACAATTATCTACCAAACTTAAATGAGACAACATTCAATCTCACTCATATTTATTTGGACTGGTGCATATCTTCGCTTGGACTGTCAATAGATTTGTCTAATGTCAGTATGCAGAATATTTCAGCGGGATTTTTTAATTCCCGTCAACTAAATTATTTAAATTTAAGTTTTAACAATCTTACAAAACTAGAGCATTCATTTTTCGATAATTCTAGTGTCACTTCTCTAAACCTTTCGTATTCCAATATATCTTCTATAGGATCTAATGTGTTCAAAAATACGAACGTAAAAACCATCGACTTATCCAGAAATAGCATTATCTCATTAGATGGAGTTATTAATCAAATATTTAGTATAAAAGAAGCATTGTTGGGTTTTAATCTTGTTAAAAACATCACTAAAGCTGTTTTTAAGAAATGCAGAAATTTGGAACTTGTTGACCTATCAAGTGTTTACACTGACTATGTCGGTAAAAATGTATTTGCCACATTACCATCCATGAAGTATTTGACAGTTAGTTTTAAAGGTTTCTTGAATTTACCTGAAGTCCTAAATATGCACGTATTAAATTTAACTATTGTAAATTCCAAACTAGATCGGTTAAATTCAAGTTCGTTCAAAGGATTCTATAAGTTGGCTCAGTTAACTTTTATCAATTGTTCTGTCACTGGTATCAGCGAGAACGCTTTTAAAGGGTTATACAGTTTAAAATATCTGGATTTTAAAGGACTAAACGCTCCCAGCATAGATCCCAAGATATTCAAGCCCTTAAAGGCATTAGAAGATTTGAATTTATCAAATTTAAATTTAAAAAAGATTAATTCAGATCTTAGTGAATTATATTCGTTGAAGAACTTAAATTTATCTTCAAACTCTTTAGTTTTGGAACAGTCGGCGTTTACTTCGTTGAAAAAATTAGAGGTTTTGTCTTTAGCGAATAATAAGCTATCAACTATACCAGTTGGAATATTCTGGCCATTAGAAAAATTGACGCATTTATATTTGAACAATAATGCTTTCCAGCAACTTTCACCCGGTGTATTTTCTGGATTAGGTAACTTGACACTCTTAGATTTGTCTCATAATGGACTATATCGAACTAAATTACACATTTTGTTATCGATTTCGGTGGGTAAAATGGAATTTTTGTATCTGCAAAATAATAATCTAGGTAGTGAGTACGCTCACGAGGACAGTAATTTAAGAAAAAACGAATTTAAGATGATATCTAACCACGCGTCATTAAAGAATATCGACATAAATAATAACGAATGGCAATGCACTACTCTTGTTGATTTAATATCAAATTTTATGAGCAAAAACATTTCCTGTTTACCTACAGACCCGGAGTACAAAACTACAAATATTAACGGAATTAGATGTACCGTATGATCGAAAAAAAACGGCGTCCTGTTGGCTGGGAAATGACGATCGATGACATTTCCCATATAAATTTACATAAAAATGAGAGCGATCTTCATTTCATAGCCATTGCTGACGCCGTTTATTTTCGATCATACGGTATTTAGATTAAGAGTAAAATACGTCTCATTAGATGGGGTGTTAATATCAATATTCTTTAAAAGCGGTGATAATCATACATCTTGACACTAATAAAGAATGACTATGCACCACTCTAGTTAAGTTAAGATCAATTCATATTAGCAAAAACATAACTTGTTTACCTAAAGACCTAGTATATGAAACTTCGAAAAAAGATTAACGGAATTTGCTGTACTTAGATTAATTATAAAATATTTGTGACAATAACTTTTGATGACTTATTTTGTACTTACTTTTTAAGCTGTAGTGTTCTATGAAGTCATTAAATTAAGCAATACAAATCATAAACATTTCTTATTATATCCCATGTACTTCAAAAACAAACGTTATACAAAATGACAACGATCTTCATTTCCACGCTAACTCTGACGCCGTATTTAATATCTGGATAACATGTTCGAGTTGAGAGTTGACATCGGAGATTTATTGCAAGACAACAGCACAAATATCAGCATAGAACTAGATCAAAAGAATTGTACTCACATCGACGAATGGATCTACTTACCATGGGAGGAGCGTTTAGAAAATATTGTTACTTTAAGGATACCCAATTTATCTATAAACACCGTCAGATCTTTATCAAAATTTCGATTTTCAGAAACTCTAGGTTCCAGCACTAATAACATTTCTGATTATAACTTCCTAAACAGAATGAAGAAGTTAAAATACTTACATTTAGGTTATACTAACTTCTCAGATTATAACTTTTTATTCGATTATATCCGAAGAGAGACTACTAACTTAACTATACTAGATTTACGTCATAGTAATATAACAAATATTACCGTTCCATATGGAGTTGTAAATGGTTACGATTTAAGTTACAACATGAATTTAAAAATGATACTTTTTGAAAACACCCTTCCAGATATTCGATTAAATTTAAACCTTAGTGGTAACACGAATCTCACTGTGATCAAAAACAAAGTGTTTGAGAGTTATTACTTTTGTTTGTCCAGCATTGACCTGTCAAACTCTCATAATAATTTTAGCAATATACTTAAGAATGTTCGTCCATCACATACTATTTCGTTAAAAAACAATTATCTACCAAACTTAAACGAGACAACATTCAATCTCACTCATATTTATTTGGACTGGTGCATATCTTCGCTTGGACTGTCAATAGATTTGTCTAATGTCAGTATGCAGAATATTTCAGCGGGATTTTTTAATTCCCGCCAATTAAATTATTTAAATTTAAGTTTTAACAATCTTACAAAACTAGGGCATTCATTTTTCGATAATTCTAGTGTCACTTCTCTAAACCTTTCGTATTCCAATATATCTTCTATAGGATCTAATGTGTTCAAAAATACGAACGTAAAAACCATCGACTTATCCAGAAATAGCATTATCTCATTAGATGGAGTTATTAATCAAATATTTAGTATAAAAGAAGCATTGTTGGGTTTTAATCTTGTTAAAAACATCACTAAAGCTGTTTTTAAGAAATGCAGAAATTTGGAACTTGTTGACCTATCAAGTGTTTACACTGACTATGTCGGTAAAAATGTATTTGCCACATTACCATCCATGAAGTATTTGACAGTTAGTTTTAAAGGTTTCTTGAATTTACCCGAAGTCCTAAATATGCACGTATTAAATTTAACTATTGTAAATTCCAAACTAGATCGGTTAAATTCAAGTTCGTTCAAAGGATTCTATAAGTTGGCTCAGTTAACTTTTATCAATTGTTCTGTCACTGGTATCAGCGAGAACGCTTTTAAAGGGTTATACAGTTTAAAATATCTGGATTTTAAAGGACTAAATACTCCCAGCATAGATCCCAAGATATTCAAGCCCTTAAAGGCATTAGCAGATTTGAATTTATCGAATTTAAATTTAAAAAAGATTAATTCAGATCTTAGCGAATTATATTCGTTGAAGAACTTAAATTTATCTTCAAACTCTTTAGTTTTGGAACAGTCGGCGTTTACTTCGTTGAAAAAATTAGAGGTTTTGTCTTTAGCGAATAATAAGTTATCAACTATACCAGTTGGAATATTCTGGCCATTAGAAAAATTGACGCATTTATATTTGAACAATAATGCTTTCCAGCAACTTTCACCCGGTGTATTTTCTGGATTAGGTAACTTGACACTCTTAGATTTGTCTCATAATGGACTATATCGAACTAAATTACACATTTTGCTATCGATTTCGGTGGGTAAAATGGAATTTTTGTATCTACAAAATAATAATCTAGGTAGTGAGTACGCTCACGAGGACAGTAATTTAAGAAAAAACGAATTTAAGATGATATCTAATCACGCGTCATTAAAAAATATCGACATAAATAATAACGAATGGCAATGCACTACTCTTGTTGATTTAATATCAAATTTTATGAGCAAAAACATTTCCTGTTTACCTACAGACCCGGAGTACAAAACTACAAATATTAACGGAATTAGATGTACCGTATGATCGAAAAAAACGGCGTCCCGTTGGCTGGGAAATGACGATCGATGACATTTCCCATATAAATTTACATAAAAAATGACAGCGATCTTCATTTCATAGCCATTGCTGACGCCGTTTATTTTCGATCATACGGTATTTAGATTAAGAGTAAAATACGTCTCATTAGATGGGGTGTTAATATCAATATTCTTTAAAAAGCGGTGATAATCATACATCTTGACACTAATAAAGAATGACTATGCACCACTCTAGTTAAGTTAAGATCAATTCATATTAGCAAAAACATAACTTGTTTACCTAAAGACCTAGTATATGAAACTTCGAAAAAGATTAACGGAATTTGCTGTACTTAGATTAATTATAAAATATTTGTGACAATAACTTTTTGATGACTTATTTTGTACTTACTTTTTAAGCTGTAGTGTTCTATGAAGTCATTAAATTAAGCAATACAAATCATAAACATTTCTTATTATATCCCATGTACTTCAAAAAACAAACGTTATACAAAATGACAACGATCTTCATTTCCACGCTAACTCTGACGCCGTATTTAATATCTGGATAACATGTTCGAGTTGAGAGTTGACATCGGAGATTTATATGCAAGACAACAGCACAAATATCAGCATAGAACTAGATCAAAAGAATTGTACTCACATCGACGAATGGATCTACTTACCATGGGAGGAGCGTTTAGAAAATATTGTTACTTTAAGGATACCCAATTTATCTATAAACACCGTCAGATCTTTATCAAAATTTCGATTTTCAGAAACTCTAGGTTCCAGCAGTAATAACATTTCTGATTATAACTTCCTAAACAGAATGAAGAAGTTAAAATACTTACATTTAGGTTATACTAACTTCTCAGATTATAACTTTTTATTCGATTATATCCGAAGAGAGACTACTAACTTAACTATACTAGATTTACGTCATAGTAATATAACAAATATTACCGTTCCATATGGAGTTGTAAATGGTTACGATTTAAGTTACAACATGAATTTAAAAATGATACTTTTTGAAAACACCCTTCCAGATATTCGATTAAATTTAAACCTTAGTGGTATCACATCTCACTGTGATCAAAAACAAGTGTTTGAGAGTTATTACATTTGTTTGTCAGTGACCTGTCGAACTCTCATAATAATTTAGCGATATACTTAGAAATGTTCGTCCATCACATAGCATTTCGTTAAAAAACAATTATCTACCAAACTTAAACGAGACAACATTCAATCTCACTCATATTTATTTGGACTGGTGCATATCTTCGCTTGGACTGTCAATAGATTTGTCTAATGTCAGTATGCAGAATATTTCAGCGGGATTTTTTAATTCCCGCCAATTAAATTATTTAAATTTAAGTTTTAACAATCTTACAAAACTAGGGCATTCATTTTTCGATAATTCTAGTGTCACTTCTCTAAACCTTTCGTATTCCAATATATCTTCTATAGGATCTAATGTGTTCAAAAATACGAACGTAAAAACCATCGACTTATCCAGAAATAGCATTATCTCATTAGATGGAGTTATTAATCAAATATTTAGTATAAAAGAAGCATTGTTGGGTTTTAATCTTGTTAAAAACATCACTAAAGCTGTTTTTAAGAAATGCAGAAATTTGGAACTTGTTGACCTATCAAGTGTTTACACTGACTATGTCGGTAAAAATGTATTTGCCACATTACCATCCATGAAGTATTTGACAGTTAGTTTTAAAGGTTTCTTGAATTTACCCGAAGTCCTAAATATGCACGTATTAAATTTAACTATTGTAAATTCCAAACTAGATCGGTTAAATTCAAGTTCGTTCAAAGGATTCTATAAGTTGGCTCAGTTAACTTTTATCAATTGTTCTGTCACTGGTATCAGCGAGAACGCTTTTAAAGGGTTATACAGTTTAAAAATATCTGGATTTTAAGGACTAAATACTCCCAGCATAGATCCCAAGATATTCAAGCCCTTAAAGGCATTAGCAGATTTAGATTTATCAATTTAAATTTAAAGATTAATTCAGATCTTAGCGAATTATATTCGTTGAAGAACTAAATTTATCTTCAAACTCTTTAGTTTTGGAACAGTCGGCGTTTACTTCGTTGAAAAAATTAGAGGTTTGTCTTTAGCGAATAATAAGTTATCAACTATACCAGTTGGAATATTCTGGCCATTAGAAAAATTGACGCATTTATATTTGAACAATAATGCTTTCAACTTTCACGGTGTATTTTCTGGATTAGGTAACTTGACACTCTTAGATTTGTCTCATAATGGACTATATCGAACTAAATTACACATTTTGTTATCGATTTCGGTGGGTAAAATGGAATTTTTGTATCTGCAAAATAATAATCTAGGTAGTGAGTACGCTCACGAGGACAGTAATTTAAGAAAAAACGAATTTAAGATGATATCTAACCACGCGTCATTAAAGAATATCGACATAAATAATAACGAATGGCAATGCACTACTCTTGTTGATTTAATATCAAATTTTATGAGCAAAAATATTTCCTGTTTACCTACAGACCCGGAGTACAAAACTACAAATATTAACGGAATTAGATGTACCGTATGATCGAAAAAATACGGCGTCCCGTTGGCTGGGAAATGACGATCGATGACATTTCCCATATAAATTTACATAAAAAATGACAGCGATCTTCATTTCATAGCCATCGCTGACGTCGTTTGTTTTCAATTATACGGTATTTAGATTGAGAGTAAAATACGTCTCATTAGATGGGGTGTTAATATCAATATTCTTTAAAAAGCGGTGATAATCATACATCTTGACCCTAATAAAGAATTACTATGCACCATTCTAGTTATGTTAAAATCAATTCTTATTAGCAAAAACATAACTTGTTTACCTAAAGACCTAGTATATGAAACTTCGAAAAAGATTAACGGAATTTGCTGTACTTAGATTAATTATAAAATATTTGTGACAATAACTTTTTGATGACTTATTTGTACTTACTTTTTAAGCTGTAGTGTTCTATGAACTCATTAAATTAAGCAATACAAATCATACACATTTCTTATTATATCCCATGTACTTCAAAAAGCAAACGTTATACAAAATGACCATCAAAATGACAACGGTCCTCATTTTCACGCCAACTCTGACGCCGTATTTAATATCTGGATAACATGTTCGAGTTGAGAGTTGACATCGGAGATTTATTGCAAGACAACAGCACAAATATCAGCATAGAACTAGTTCAAAAGAATTGTACTCACATCGACGAATGGATCTACTTACCAGGGGAGGAGCATTTACAAAAAAATATTGTTACTTTAAGAATACCCAATTTATCTATAAACACCGTCAGATCTTTATCAAAATTTCGATTTTCAGAAACTCTAGGTTCCAGCAGTAATAACATTTCTGATTATAACTTCTTACACAGAATGAAGAGGTTAAAATACTTACATTTAGGTCATACTATCTTCTCAGATTATAGCTTTTTATTCGATTATATCCGAAGAGAGACTACTAACTTAACTATTCTAGATCTACGTCATAGTAACATAACAAACTTTACCATTCCATATGGAGTTGTAAATGGTTACGATTTAAGTTACAACATGAATTTAAAAATGATACTTTTTGAAAACACCCTTCCAGATATTCGATTAAATTTAAACCTTAGTGGTAACACGAATCTCACTGTGATCAAAAACAAAGTGTTTGAGAGTTATTACTTTTGTTTGTCCAGCATTGACCTGTCAAACTCTCATAATAATTTTAGCAATATACTTAAGAATGTTCGTCCATCACATACTATTTCGTTAAAAAACAATTATCTACCAAACTTAAACGAGACGACATTCAATCTCACTCATATTTATTTGGACTGGTGCATATCTTCGCTTGGACTGTCAATAGATTTGTCTAATGTCAGTATGCAGAATATTTCAACGGGATTTTTTAATTCCCGCCAATTAAATTATTTAAATTTAAGTTTTAACAATCTTACAAAACTAGAGCATTCATTTTTCGATAATTCTAGTGTCACTTCTCTAAACCTTTCGTATTCCAATATATCTTCTATAGGATCTAATGTGTTCAAAAATACGAACGTAAAAACCATCGACTTATCCAAAAATAGCATTATCTCATTAGATGGAGTTATTAATCAAATATTTAGCATAAAGGAAGTATTTTTGGGTTTTAATCTTGTTAAAAACACCACTAAAGCTGTTTTTAAGAAATGCAGAAATTTGGAATTTGTTGATCTATCAAGTGTTTACACTGACTATGTCGGTAAAAATGTATTTGCCACATTACCATCCATGAAGTATTTGACAGTTAGTTTTTTTTAGTTAGGAATTTGCTGTATTTAGATTAATGATAAAATATATGTGAAAATAACTTTTGAGGACTTATTTTTTGTACTTACTATTTAAGCTGTGGTGTTTCTATGTAGTCATATTACATTAAGAAATAAAATTGTTAAATTACGATATTGCTTATTATATCCTCTGTGATTACTTGAATACAGAAGTTCTGTACTATTTAAAAAAACTGTGCCAATTTCCTTGGAAATGCTGATTAAAGACATTGGTCATAAAATTTAACATATTAAATGAACATCGATCTTTATATCCGAGAAATTATTGCCTGTCTCTTTTTTTAAAAATTCTGGATTAATAATAATCCAGGTAAGATAATGTCCGAAGGATATCCGAATAATTTATATTGCAATAATCTAAATAACTTATCATTTTCGTAGACTTATTAAAAGTTACTACTACTTAATTTAAAATAACACGAATTTAAAAATGATACTTCATGAAAACTCTTCACTGGATATTGGTCAAATTTAATCATTCGTGGTGACTCGAATCTCTCTGTACAGGGTGGGTCAAATTCGACGCTTTTAAATGGAAACACCCTTTTCTATAGGAGATAGACAAAAACTAATATCGGTGTCTGGAGCTCAATTTCCATCAAAAACATGATGGTGAAAACCGCACATCAATATCTGTTACTTACTAAAAAATGTGCATTTTTAACAAATCGCTGTAACTTTTTTGCTATAGAAAATTTTGTATTTCTATGAAAACATTTCCAAAGCACCTTTTTACGTAGAATTTAATGGTTTAAGTATATATTTTTTTAAATTAATAATTTAAGAGTTATCAACAGAAAAACTGATTTTTTATTTGGGACACCCTCTATATTTTTAATTAACTGAAAAGAATTTAAAATTACCTTTTCAAAAATATAGCACACTTGATACTTTGTTATAATTCCCTTCGAAATACAGAATTTTTAAAAGTTCGCCACTTTTAACTAGTAGGCTTTGGGCCCCTTATTGATGATATGCCCTTAATGGAACTCGAAAACATATTTTTCCAGCAAGACGACGCACCGCCTCTGAGCGCTGAAGTTATCAGCAAATTTTGCATCCAATTTCAACAATAATTGAATAGCTAACCAAGATTCCAGCCGTTGACCGTCGAGGCCGCCTGACTTAGTGCCCATGGATCTAATCCTATGGATATATTTGCGAAAAATAAAGGTTCTTTATTCTTCCTTATATCCTTATAATCTAGACAAGAATTAGAAATACTTAGCAGTTATGAGAGGGTATCTTTCACCCCTACTGAGTTAATGAATTCCGCGAGAAATGTTCAAAAACTGCCCAGTCTGTCCATAACAGAAGAAGGTCGATATGTCGAACACCTGTAGCAAAATCTCATGTCTTGGTTTGCTATTTAGTTTTATTGTTATTAGATATAGTTTAAATGTATTGATGTTGGTTAAATATATTTTAAATAGTTATAAAATTCTGAATCTCTTATAGCAATTATTATTTTCGTTTTAATTGATGCTCAAAGCTAGATTTTTTGCATTACAGCCGGTGCCGTTCAAAGCCTACTCATTTAAAGCGAGCGAATTTTTATATACTCTATATCTCGAAGAGGAATCGAGGAAAATATCAACTGTGTTATATTTTTGGAAAGGTAATTTTAAATTCTTTTCAATATATGAAAAATATACAGGATGTCCCATATAAAAAATCAAATTTTCTGTTGATAACTCTTAAATTATTAATTTTAAAAAAATTATACTTAAACCATTAAATTCTACGTAAGAAGGTGCTTTGGAAATGTTTTCATAAAAATACAAAATTTTCCATAGCAAAAAAGTTACAGCGATTTGTTAAAAGTGCATATTTTTGAAAAACACCCCGTAGCTCCAAAACGGTAACAGATATCGATATGCGGTTTTCACCAACATGTTTTTGATGAAAATTGAGCTCCAGACACCGATATTAGTTTTCGTCTATCTCCTATAGAAAAGGATGTTTCCATTTAAAAGCGTCGAATTTGACCCACCCTGTACAAGGGGAACTAATTGTGAAGAATAAAGTTCCAACACTAGAGGCAACATTTTCCATAAACGCCTACTTGTGCGGTTTGAACTTTTGATGCAAAATCCGCAATATCGCATAGAAGAAATGTATCAACCCAACTTTTATCATTTTTTAATACATTTAATTTTCTATTAAGCTGCCTAAATCACTGTCTACGCGTTAAAATCCAGACCACACTTCTAAAATGACCAAATCGGTATACCTATCCAGCGTAGATCTTTTAAGATCAGGCTGGCTCAGGCTCAGGTTTTTATTTTACTGATATATTCGAAAATAATCGCTAATCCAATAGCTTCCATACATCAGAAGATTTGGCCTGGCTATATGGCCTGCGGACTTTTGACTGCGGATAAAAACTTTGCTTTTGTAGGGCAGACCAAGCTAACACTAATGTCAAATTTTATGTATTAATCCTAAATGATTGTTAATAAAAAATCCTACTTTATCACTATAACACTCTATAATTAAAATACAGACATTTCAAGATAGGCAAATCTTCTTATTATTTATTATACATATAGTCGTTTTCAAACGATATCTTATCGCTTTTAATAATATTTATGAATATTTTCTTTAAACCAGCTATTCGTTTAATTTGATTTTTAGTGGTTATCTTCAGCAGTAGATAGTAGATACAATGTCTTCTCTAATTCGTTTAAGTACTGTTTCGGATAAAGAAATTGTAAAGTTACTCGAGTCCATAGATTATATTATTTTCGGTATTGATGGTGAGTAAAAAATATATTTTCATATTATATAACTTTGTTCAATTTTGTAGAGTAGAAACAAATTATTTAATATTTTGAATTTTTTTTTCTTGACTTTACCTAACGCTGTTAAATCTGATAGAATGTTGAGGAAAGTACCCTCTAATGTCTGATAGACGTATACTTATAGTATATTATCACCATCTTTAAGGTGTTCTCCTCACACACAAAACACTGATCCTAGGAGCAGACAAATGCGTAGCCAAGCTACGGAAATTGGGTAAAAAGGTCGGATTTGTCACCAACAATCCGGCTTCCCCCATGCACGCCCTGTCCCACCATTTGAGGCATTTCGATGCTAGCGAAGAAGAAATAACGATGCCGAATGCCGCCATGATTTCCTATTTGCAAAACATTGGATTTGACAGGGATATTTATGTGGTTGGTGGAAAACTGTTGAAAAATATGTTGAAGAAGGCTGGATATAACGTTCTAGAGTATAAGGTAAATTCTGGGTTATCAAAATTAAGGTAATTTAATTGATTGTAAAGAAATTTAAAAAAAATCATTCACAAACCGTGTAATAAATGGCTACTTGTTTCTCTTAACTAAGTATTTATATCAGGATAACACGGGAAACGTCTTAGTAAAAAAGAGTTTGTTACATATTTAGTTAAGTTACATATTCTATTTTATATAGATATCTTTATTTTTTCTTTATTCGAAATTAACTACACCCACCGCACCGGCACGAAAAACGGGCACCCTAAAATTTTCATGTATTTTAAAGTTTTATATATTGTGTTCTAGTGGTTCTAGTTCTAGTTATTTGACTTTGAAATTTTTGAAAATGTTGATATTTTGGTGCAAGTTTGAAACACCCTGTAGAATACGTTAACAGAGCAAGGAACTTAAAAATCATTTTATCATCTAAGTGTATCTTTTCTGGGTAGTTTGTTTTTTAGGGTCCCGTACCCAAAGGGTAAAAACGGGAACCCTATTACTAAGACTTCGCTGTCCGTCTGTCCGTCCGTCTGTCACAAAGGTCTATCTTATGAACCGTTATAGCTAGACAGTTGAAATTTTCACAGATAATGTATCTATGTTGCCGCTATAAGAACAAATACTAAAAACAGAATTAAATAAATGTTTATAAATAAAAAAGTACTTTCACTAAACATTATCTTTTAAGCAAGAATTTTACACAGAATCTTTCAAGTCCTCGGTGGCCACCTGGTTAAGGCCCTAGGACTTTACGTTGCTATGACGTTGGAGCCGTAGTAAGGCAGGTTCGAATCCTAGTCACGGCGAGTTTTTTTTAATCGTTTTTTTTTAATTTTTACATATTTATGTTTACTTTTACATATTTATTATTGATTAATACAATTTTTAGTAATGTGTTTCTTAATTTTTTTAATTACTTATACGCGCATTCAAAATTTCAGCTAAATCGGAAAAAAGTTTATAATAATATAGTGTCTAAGGTTGTATAGATAATGAATGGTACGGAACCCTTCGTGCGCGAGTCCGACTCGCACTTGGCCAATTTTTATTATTCATCTCAATAGCTTTATTTTTTTTGGAAATATTCGCTTTTGAAGAAGACTCTAACATTTTTCGTATATTTTACATTAAAACCATGCCTTTGCTTTTGGCCCTAGTCAACACACCTCTAAAATAGTGTTTCTGATTTATGTAATGTCACTGTCTGTTGGGCAGTTACTCTAGCAGATATGGTTTTAAGTGTAAAATTTCTACCGTTATCAATTAAAGCAGCAATAGCCGAACTTAAAACCATCTCTACTAGAGCAAAGGTCGATAAACATTAATAATATGATTTTTCAATGAGAGTGATATTACAAAACAATAAACACTATTTTATAAGTGTGTTTATGAGGACCCACAATCAATGCTAAAGTTGCTGTAAATCGTTATTGACTTATTCAAAAGCGAATATCTCCAATAAAAATAAAGAGATTGAGATGAATCAAAAACAAACTATGTACCTAGATGATAAAATTATATTTAAATTCCTTGCTTGGTTAACATATTCCACAGGGTGTTTCAAACTTTCACCAAAATATGAACATTTTGTTTTCCCTCGTATAATTGACAGATGGAAACTTTCATTTTTACTTTTAGAAAGAGGTACTAAAAGTCAAATAATTTAGCTACAAATATGGTGCCCGTTTTTCGTGCCGGTGAGTGTATTTATAGCTTATAGGGCTCGAACACAGACGACCAGGTCGCAATGGTTTCAAGCAGTTCTACCTCTAAAACCATTAAATCAAAATGATATAGCCATAGATTTAATAAGAACAGATATCACATTGTGCATTTTAACCCGATCAAACAATCGGAGGTTGACTAATGGTATACTGTAAAAACCAACTGAAATAGAGAAGGCGACATTGCCACATCTCAAATTTGCGTCTATCTACTTAGTTTGACTTTGCAAAAAAGGTGACTTCACTAAAACCTTCATGACGGATATCAATCTTTGTTCAATTTCTTAATTAAATTAATAGTTTATTTTTAAAGAAGCATGTAATAATATGGTTATTAACCAGAGGATATATGCGTTTGAAAGATCATTTGAATCTGTTTCGATTTATTTTAAAAAATAGGTTGTCGTATCGTGTTTACTGTTTAATGTGCTGAAACGTCTAGAACTATTGGCAACGTCGCTGCTAGTCTTCCAGAATGAAATGAGCCGTCCGTCCCACCACCCCTCGTGACGGCCCTTGGTCCGTTGTAGCGGACTACCAGGTACTACGTTTAGCTTACGGTGTGTTTGAAGTCGGAATCAAGTCCGAAGTGAACTTTCAGTGGTTTTCAGTAGTTTTGTTTTTGTTTAACGTACTTTTGAATCTGCGAATTTTCAATATGGTAGGACAGTGTCAAATGTGTGGAAAAATAAGCTCAAATTACCCGAATTTGTCTTTTACAGGTTGTCTTTTACATTGTTTCCGCCGTAATCGTACATAGGCGTCCCACAAGGGAGCCTCTCACAATTAAAATAATTTCTAATTATATTTGTTGAATTTTAATCTATTAAAACAAGAACGTAGTAGCCGGTAATTGAATGTACAATTCGTCTTGATACTACCTAACTGTTGTAGATCATAACAAATTTGAATATAAACGTTGCATTTGAAACTTTATTATATATAATAACCCTTATAATACATGCCTTATTTTGTGTCCAAGGATCCAAATAAGAAATAAAATATCAGGTGTTCCATAAGAAAAAATATAATTTTGGTGTAAATCTTAGTTCTGACATATCCTGTACATTACAAAACCAGAAAGAGACATTTTTTTAAATTGCGTCATATTTTTGATCATTATATACGATATTTTATTGCTTTATTAGGTATATCTTATATCTGCCCCTTCGGTCTTGCTTAGACAAGTTTTACCACCGTACAATACAAATGCCTCTTCCTAGAGTTATTTGTACGGTGTGTTTACCTTTTTAGAATGGGACGAAAAACGTAAGTTAAACGGGAAGTTCTAAATAATGTTGCCTATTCTAAACAAGAAAAATTTATTTATAAGTTTTATAACACCTCTAATTAAATTTGGATGAAAATAAATATTTCTGTTTGCTGTAGGTAATTTTCCCAGAGATTAAACGGGAGTTCTAAGTTCTTCTTCTCTCTCAACAAAAAATGATCCTAAAGTCAAAAAAAATCAAAAGGACAAGTTTCAGGCATCCGCGTCCGCTTCTCGCAAAAACAAAAATTTTGTTTTTTAGGAAGCATCGCGCTGAACATCTAGGTGCGTGGCGAGGTGAGGCTCCAGTATGTTTTGACGCATAAATTTGTACATGTTTGATTCAGCATCGCCGGATGGCGAGGTGAATGATGCGCATCGCATCGAGATGAAATGCCCGCACTATGTTTGTACGATAGTCGCGATGCATCCTACGCGCACTTACTCGCCGTTTTAAAACAGTGCGCCAAACCTATGATTACAAAAATGTCTAAAATGTGCTTTACCATTGACTCCAAATTCATAAAAAAAAATGCTGTAAAAGTCACCAACCACAATTCAATATAGAACAGTTTCGGAAGCCTGAGTCACCCTGTAAATATTCAAAAGTAACTGAAAGTTTATATAGATGACTAAAGTTTAAATTGAATATCGACGTTGAGCGATTTTCGAAAACTACCTACAAACGTTTCAACATAAGTATATGTGGGATATTAATGATATTATTATATTAGACCTTATAACAAAACTGATCTAACGAAAGTGTTAATGTAGTATATTAATAAAAGTAAAAATTTTAAAAATTACTTTACTTTTACTTTACTAATTAAATATCGTTCCAAAAAACGATACGCCACTGGCCATTAGAACAATCCAAATGCGCCTAGTTGCCGGGGTCGGAAATTTTAGACTTCTCTGTCTCTTCTGTCCTTGTTTGACACATTGGAATGTTTGATACACTACCAACGAGTATTTATGAATGAGATGTTCGGTCTATCTTTATAATGTCTTTGGATATAGCGCACACTAACGTCCTGGCCGTCCGTTGGTCGTTGCGACCAGAAGACTGCACGGAAATATTATTATTTTCTGCCGCTTGTTGCCGGTTTTCTTCCAAATTAATAATTTTTCAGATGAAATCCCTCAAAATCAACGCACAATATTTGATTTTCTATAAGATATAGTGTTTTAGTGTAGTTTTTGCACACGTGCAGAAAATCCAAAGAAATAGTATACAGACTGGATCAAAGGGAAACTTAAATCTAGTCCCTTTTTTTATCAAGGGTCGATTCTAGTAAAAATTCAAAACATTTTTATATGACATACCTACTCATTTATTGTTGGTATGATACCTGTTATTATACCTTCGAGTTTCGATGTTAAAAAAATAAAAAAAAAAAATATTTAAAGTTTTTCTACAACCACTTGTTTTTTTTATTAAATTAGTTTTTTTAGAGGACAACTGTATTTTAAATATTATATTTAATTTAACGTTTTTCAAACAGGGTTCATTAGACTATATTTCTACTAGGTACATTATTTAAAAAAAAAATTAAGAGTAAAAGTAACTTAAACATTCATAAAAATAGAAGTAATTACCTGTTGTAGATTCTCAGTAAAAATAAAAAAGAGGAATTTATATTGTAAACATTGAAATAACTGGAAGCTAAACTTTCTACCTGCTTATATTTAGAGCCAGTGTATGACGAGCTTTTTTTACGATGACCCTAATATGTTTACTTCTAAAGTCGATAAGAGCCATTAGTAGAAGTCCATATCAGTAGAAAAAAGAAACAGAATATCTCCCTTTTTGTCGGTCGTGCGTACACAATGCTTTTTGTTCGGCCAATTTGTTCTGCTTGTTCGTGCGCGCTCGGTTCGTTCGGGCTAAAATGCTGAAGTTTGGACGCACCTTTAGGAACAATACTGTTTTTGTCCTTTATTGATATAATGCTGAAAATCACTCTACACATATTAAATTACATAGACGTAGGATGTAGAATATTCTATTATGAAACGACTGATGAAATAGCAGGCATCGCGGATATGAAAAACATGGAAATAACGGAGTTGGAGATTTTACTTACTCCATTTACCACACCTGTATTTATTAACGAAAAATTCAAGAATATTTTAAATGCATTATTTAATATTAGAACATTTAATAAGCTCATGAACAGCAACTTCGATTTTTAGTTAACTCGGATATTTTAACATTTCTGAAACAATATTTTCTAATTGGTAAAACGTAAAAAATGGTTAGATCTGACAACTCTGTTGAAACTGGTCGTTCATCTGGCCGCAGCTATAAACGCAATGCATCCGGCCAGCCGACGGCCAGGTCGTTGCGACCTGGTCGTCAGTGAGTTCGAGCCCTAAGATGAAAATATAGCAATTAGTGTTTTATTTTGCTGTTGGCTGCTAAGCACCAAAGGTAACAACCTACAACTTTACTATTACTGGTATAAGATACCTTACGAGCTACTTTGTAGAGAAAATGTGCCAAACAAATTAAATTATGTTGGACAAATTACATTATGTTGAGTATATTCTTTAGATTTAGGATAAGCAAGTTTTTAATATCACTGCCTTGATACCGTGTTTAAATTAAATTATGTTGGATATATTCTTTTGTTTTTGGAATCTTTCTCAAGTATTTTGTAAACTTATTGGTATAAGGATTTATATTGGCTTAATAGGATTATGTGGACCAACATGGTTGCCAACATCCATACAGGATAGGCACTGAAAGAAGAAGAAGATTGGTATAAGCAGGTTTTTAAAACTTATTGCCGAGAGGTGTCTTACTCGGGTAAAAAATGTACACGTACTGCCAAAATATCCTTCCACTGCTAAGCGACTGCCAATGACTATGAAGAAGACTGCCTATGACTGCCATGTAATTATTATAGGCGACTGCCATAAGACTGCCAATGACTACCAGCGACTGCTAAGAAAATGTACATGTAATTCCAATAGTGAGACACCCCTCGCTTTTTGCTAAGCTCTGTTCAGAATGAGTCCTTTTCTAGTTCATCGCAGTCAATTGTCAAATCAAGTACTTCCTGTCTATTCTTTTCTTCTGGACAATATATTCTTTTTAGTTTTGCCGATGTTTATATTCAATTCATACTGCTATAAATACTAAAATGTTCAACAAAGATATCCATTATATTCTTTCCACTTACTGATATTTATTACATTGATTTTTTTTTTTACTTTGAATAGAGGCATTTTATTTCAGATGGAATCAAGAACGGTAAACTTATAGGATTGCTCATCCTCATAAGACGTACGTTCGCCTCTTCCCGCGCTTCAACTGACTGTTGTGACGTCATTGTAGCCCTTGTCAAAGCCTTCGTGGCCTTTTTATCATAGTGTGTATTATTAGTTGCCTATGGTAAACTTATAAAAATAACAGCTGAGAAATTTTGAGTTAATTATTTTGTCAATTTTAAATGTGAAAAAGGTGTCTTTAAAGTTTTTAGAGCTGTAGAGTGTATAAATACGTTCATTTTGTGTTGTGGATTGTGACAAAGTGCATACTAAGTGCCCACGATTTTGTTTATTAATTATTTTAAAGCAAAATATGGAAGTACTCTAAAAAGAATGCTTTCAAAAGGTGATGCTGGGAACTGCTGTTCTTAAAAATGCATTATCCGAGTATTTAATACGATTTATACAGTTAATTTTCTATACTGCATACATATAAGGTGTTTAAATATATAAACTAAATAATGAACGTTTTGCATTCGGCAACCAATAATGCACGTGTGTGTATTATTGGTTGCCGGATAAGGACTAATAATCATGACAAGGGCTACAATGACGTCACAAAGCGAGTAGTTTTCGCATGCACCTGGCGGACACTTTTGGCTGAATGAGCAGTCCTATTAGGTTAACTGTTCTTGAGATGGAATAATATAAGTGACAGAGATGAATTGAAACAATTTATTGTTAATTTGAAATAAATATAATATTTTTTAGGATATTCATGACATTCCTTTAGAAGAAAGTATGGATGCCGTCAAACACCTGTCAGGAAAGACCTTAGATATTTGTAAAAATGTAGGAGCGGTTATATTATGCAATGATGTAAACTTTTGTTTACCCGCTGCTCAAGTAGCTATCACTATTTTGCAAAATAACGACGATGTAATTCTGTTAAGTGGAATGTCTGACGATGTGGCTCCTTTAACTGACACCTTTAGAATTATTGGTGAGTTTTAGGCATTGAATAAAAAGATTAAGGAAGGAGTATAATGCTATCCATATATTTATGCATGGTAGACGGAGGTGGGGATCTAGGGTGGGGAGATCCTTGACAGTTCTGTTTGACGATTCATTTGACACATTTGAATTTGATCTAAAATTTTGTGGTTTTGTCTGTCTTTACTGAGCTTATTTTATGTTATTTATAATTTATTCTACAACTGGTAATTGTTTAGAGGTAGTAAATCTGGAAGGAATTTCTGTCAGAACTGAAAAATAACAGTGACACTATTGTGATTTATCGAAAAAGACTGTAAAATAGTTTCTTGTCTAGCGTGCGGTAGATCTAGCTCAAAAATCGAGGGAAATAATGGAATAACATTTCTATACTATATAATATACATCCGTGTAGTCAACCGATCATTTGTATTGTTGAATCGAAATTCACTTAAAATTAATTAATTATATATTTTACTAAACAAACAAGAACAAGACACTACATACCAAAAAAATATAAAAAAGAACTAATTTTTACTTTCAAGCTTTATGAAACTACCCGCATTTATGATTATATTTATCAATATAACTTATGTACAAATATAAATTTGTAATATTCCATAGGAATAAATAAAACATCATAGGTAAATAAAACAAACTATTTTATTAAAGGTTGATTAATTAACTTTAATCTTAATTTTTTTAAACCAGTACCTTTTGACATTATTTTTCTGCAGTACTAAAATCCATTATTTACCTATCGTGTGATGTCGATATTTTACAGCTACTCCAGTTTTTAGTATGTGTTTAGTTTGATCCTTCTACCATATATGAGATGCACTTATCTACGACGAGATGGTATACAAACTTTAACGATGGCAACTTCATTGGTGTATAAGACTTTCTGCCTGGGTAGCGAGTATTAACCATAAACTGTGCTCTGGGTCTACAGTTAATTTTCACTGATTTTTCCTCCACTTGACTTCAAAAGACACAAAACACACGTAATAATACGAATCAAAATGCATCATCTTCCAAAACGCAGGGTATTTAACAAAAGTTGACACAAAATTATAACCTATAATTTGGCAAGACTTTGACAAGCGTCAAAAATGACAAAAATCTAAAGGCGAATTCATACGCATCGGCGTCCGTTTATCGTTCATCGTTCCGCCAAACCAATGAAATTGAAATACGATCTGTCATTTTTTAAATAAACCAATAAAACTGGTTAAAAACAACAAGACACGACGCATGACGGATTTATATTTAAACCCATCCATAGATAACTTAAAAATTATTAGAAACTTTTTTTAGTAAAATAAATAGATTGGTATGGGACGTCATCTGCTTTTCTTCTGTCATCGTCTGTCGAAATCTTACCTGAGAAAAAAAACAGAGTATATATAATATACATCCGTGTAGTCAACCGATCATTTGTATTGTTGAATCGAAATTCACTTAAAATTAATTAATTATATATTTTTTCTTACATTTTCGCTTTTTACTACGTACTACTTGTCAAAGATAAATTAGATACGTCAACTTGCCTTACCTGCTTCAGTAGCGTATCGGATGTTTGTGTTATTAAATTAATATAAATAATTATTATTAAACTTATCTATTTTTCTTAGAATTATATGTTTTTATAACAATTTTAATAACTACCAACATTTATTGACCACTTAAAATAAAACAACAAATTATAGAGTCTACCTTACATCATATTTTTAGACGTTTTGAATAAAATTAGAACGGCACTAATAAATCGGAATTAGTCGGTCATTCTTGGTCCCTATACATATAGCGCTCGATCTAAGTTTTTTGATATGCTCCTTATTCCTTAATCTTTTTGTTCTAACAGCGCTTTCAGATGGAGCGGACCGTCCGCGACTTCGAGCAAGTACTATGATTTTATATGAACAATTTCACATGGGTCGCGTATGCTCCGTCCGGATGATTTCGACCGACAGCTATCTTGAAAAAACACGCGGACACTCCGCTCCATCTGAAAGCGCTGTAAGATTTTAGGTCTCAAACCGATAGAAAATTTTTTTTTTAATATTTGTTATTTCTTTAACTCTCATTGTTTTCTAAAGTATTCCTGGGTAGAATAAAGAAATTTAAAACTTAGTCATAAGCTTTTTAACATACAAACATGATTTGTAATTATTATATTTCTTAGGACCTAAGTTTTATATCGAAGGCATTGAAAGATGGACGAATAGAAAATGCATTAAAATTGCGAAACCTGGAACTGTGTTAAAAGAATTGCTAATTTCTAAACATGAAATTGTGGATCCTAGTAGAGTTTTATTTGTTGGAGATAGGTGAGTCACTTACTTTTAGAATTCTTCAATTTTTTACTTTTATGCTACTTTATACAATAGTGTAACTGGATAAAGATCAGAGAGTAGTAGAGGAGCAGATAGTTAGTAGACTTTATAGACTGAAGTTTTTGAAATTTGAATATACCGCGTGGAAATTGAAAATCGGACAATTTGGTGAAGGAATCTTATAAATAGTTAGTTTGTTGTGTGTTATAAGTTAGTAATTGTGTATAAAGTGAGAAAATAAATTCGTTAAGTATTTTATCGTGAGTTTAAAATAGTGGACCCACGGAATCCGTAACAATATGCTATAGTTATGAAAAATATTGCGTCAGTATTGCATAAAAAACTGAAGAATAACAGCGCTTTCAGATGGAGCGGACCGTCCGCGCTCCATGAGTTTATATGAACAATTTCACATGGATCGCGTATGCTCCGTCCGGATGTTGTTCATATAAACCAAATACGTTTAAAATGAAATTTTAAACGTATTTGATATAAACTCATGGTACTTGCTCGAAGTCGGGTACGGTCCGCGCGGACGGTCCACTCCATCTGAAAGCGCTGTAACTTATTCAGATATACCGGGTGCGTCTCAAAAGTGGCTCACCCCTATAACTTCTTTATTTTTTCAGATTAAAAAACGAAATTTGGTATTTTAGCATATGACATATATTAGGATTGATTGACGTATTAAATTATTTTTGTCACTTCCTGTTTCTCCTGAATTTACTCCAAATTTTGATTTTAAATGGTATCTTCGGTGTTTTTTACTTTATTCGATAGAAAATGACATTCTGAATAGAATGACATATCATATGTACACACTTTTGACATTTTCGCATATATGGTTTATTTGAAATTGTAACATGTAACCAAATTATTTAAAAAAAATGCTTTTTCCAAATATGCTAATGAACCACTCTTGTTCCATTTGAAAGAATTGAGATATTATGATTAAAAATACGATTTGGCCATCTTTTAACTGACCAGGATAAGACACGAAAAACATTAGACAATCAAATCTACCTTTTCCAAGGTTCCTTTATTAAAAATTAGTGTTAATAGTAATTTAAAATACAATATTTTTTTAAACCAAAATGTCAAGAATTAGAATGCTCAGAGTGTCATTTTCTATCGGATAAAGTAAAAATATACCGAGGGTGCCATCTAAAAATCAAAAATGTTGTAGTAAAACTTCCAGTGAATTTCCGGTGAAACAGGAAGTGACCAAAAACAATTAAATACGTCAATCAATACTAATTTATGTCATATACTAACATACCAAATTTCGTTTTTTTATCTGATAAAATAAAGAAGTTATATGGGTGAGCCACTCTTGAGACGCGCCCGGTATTTGTCAATATTTTTTTTAAATTTTATCTTTGCTTTGTTTTCCAGCGTCCCCATCGACATTGCATTTGGAACACATTGTGGATTTAAAACTTTATTAGTACTATCTGGAATTACAGAAAAGCACGAAGTTGAGGAATGGAGTTTTGCTGAAGAATTTAAACCCGATTTTATAATACAAGATTTAGGAAGCCTGTTTGAAAAAATTAAACACATTTGATTTATTGAATGCAATAAAAATTGGTTATTTGAATATGTATGGATGAACACTTATAAGGATATCAAATAGAAAACAAAATAATTTTTTATTTTTAGTAGATAATATTTTAGACTACATCGAGTTTTATATATTTCATCGACTGAACATTTTTTTTTCTTTTTGTACTATCTAGGAATGCTTATATATATTTTTTAAATATTTGTACTTGAACATTTAAACTGACTACTTTTATATTTGTCTAAAATATATGAATCTACAACAATACACCAAAACACTTTTTCTTTTGCACTGGACGCGCGTTTCGCGAACTATGTTAGCAGATGATTAAAACTGTTAATAAAAGTTTTAATAATCTTTTCGTTTAATCATAGTATTGTAGTATAACTACCCAGGGTGGTTCAACAGTTGAAAAGGTAATATTTTGGCCAACTGTATAACAAGAATTGAAGGGAACTTACGTTGTGTTAAAAATATTTTTTATTGTGAGTCCCTGGGATGCACCCGACAGAAGCAATTTTTTGGGAAATTTGAGTAGAATAGGTTTTGTAAATGAAACGATAATTTGTAAATAGCCCTACTTATTTTATTAAACGAAATGAAAGGAGCGCCGTACACTGCCTGAAATTCACAAGTAAAAGAGCACGGCAGAGAAAACCTTGATCATTATTTCTATGCTTTCAAGTATTCATCTGCTTTTCGAGCCGCCGCGCCATGCTGTCCATCTGTCTCTACATAAAAGCTGTCCATCTGTCTCTACATAAAACATGAAGTAAATGGGAGATGGACGTTGCCATGACGCGACGGCGCGGCGACCTTACGAGTAGCGTGAATATGTTCGTTGGTTGGCCATTCATTCGGTACGTTATAGCATTGTTATAGTGATAATCGCGTCTAAAGGTAGGATTTCCTAACTGCGTCGAAACGCATGCGTCTGACGTGTGCGGTTTTAGATGCGTTGAACGCGCGGCGGCAAACGCACCAGATTGTGTTTTTCTATCAGCGTTTCATATTAAAATAATGTTCTGGAAAAAAATATTTTAGTTGCTCTGCAAATTTGTTGTACCAAATTTTGATATTTTAAAGCGTGCGTAGTTTTGAATATGGAGAATATTGTAAATTTACTATTGTTACAAGAAGAGGAGGATGAAGAAGCAATTATACTTTTTCATGTAGGGAAAGGAATGTAAAGGAAAAAAGAAACCCTGAAAAAGAACCCTGTTCTCTTTAGTTTTTCAGAAATATGTTTCCATATGTTCTCCCGTATTTGTTGATCTTTATAATCTTTTTGTCCGCTCTCATAAATAGCAGAGTGTTCAGCTATATATGAACTCTATTAGTTGCTCATCCTCTTCAGGCGAAAATTGTAACATTTTATTGTTAATTTTTTTTATGTTTCATTACAGTTGATTTTTCCACTGTAGACTGTGTTGATTTTACTATAAAATATTAATAAAAAAAGAACGCATACACATTTCGTATACTTTTCACTATGAAAACGCAAAGCATGTGCGTCTAGACTCCTCTCGAGGGTAGTCATAATAATAATAATAATAATAATAATAAAAGACGAGGAGAAATAATAATAAAAAACTGACCTGGAACGGATCAACAGGTTGGTAAGAACGGAATTATCAAAATTTAGAAAACACCATCCAGGATCGGCAGTGGAAAGGATAAACTTGCCTCGAAAAGATGGAGGTCGCGGAATCATCGATGTGGTTGCTTCTTGCAAACAACAGATAGACCATCTCAGGAAATATTTTAGGAGCACAAACAATGAGCTCAGAAGAATCAGTAGTAGAAAATTAGATACTAAAAAACAACAACTACAGGCACAAGCAAAAAGACTAAAACGATACAAGAAGAGCCACCAAAGAAAACAAGAAAACAAACTTTTTAACACAAATGAAAAAAGGTTCTACAGATCTCTCGAAACAACGGAACAGCAAATAAACAATCCACCATCATTACAGAAGTAAAAACTTCTGGGAAAATATCTGGTCACAAGCAGTAGAACACAACAGAGAAGCTCAATGGATAACAGAAGAAGAAAACAAGCAGATAAATACAACAGCCATGCCAAATGTAACAATCACCTTAGAAGACATCAAAGCTGCCATATCCAAGACACACAACTGGAAAGCACCTGGAGACTACAAAATACAGAACTACTGGCTAAAATCATTCACAAGCATCCACAAACCACTAACGAATATATTACAAAATTTTGTACAAGGAACGGAAGCCATCCCCTCTTTTTTAACTCAGGGAGTTACCTACCTTAAACCCAAAGGCACGGACACTTCACCCCATCTAAGTACAGCCCTATAACATGTTTATCAACAACCTATAAATTACTAACGGCAATAATAACAACAAAGATCAACACTCACCAGCAGAATAATAACATCATATCAGAAGAGCAGAAAGGATGCTGTCAGGGATCTAGGGGCTGCAAGGAGCAACTGGTGATAGATGCAGAAATACACACTCAAGCCAAATTAAAACGTAAGTCTCTACATTTTGCATACATAGATTATCAGAAAGCTTTCGACACCGTCCCACACTCCTGGTTCATACAAGTTCTACAAATATACAAAATCCACCCTCAAATCATACAACTTCTGCAGAGAATAATGGCAACATGGAAAACTACCCTAAACATCAAAATGAAAAAACAACTCATCCACACAGGACCAATTCAAATTAATAGAGGAATTTTTCAGGGTGACTCCCTCAGTGCACTCTGGTTCTGTATTGCGCTCAACCCCCTATCGAACCTACTCAACAAAACGCCCCAAGATGCTTATAAAATATCCTCACTCACACATTCATCTACCATCTCGCACCAGCTATATATGGATGACCTAAAGCTTTATGCAGCAACTAGAAAACAACTCAACAACCTTCTCAATATTACAGAAACACCGTGAAGACATCCAAATGAAACTAGGAACAGATAACGATAACTACAAGACTCAAATATCATACAGAATATGGAAATGGATGAGACAACAAATACCTCGGATACCTACAAAAAACAGGATTAGAGCATGCCAACATAAAACAGCAACTAAAAAGCAAATACAAAAACAGAATAAAACAAATACTCAAAACAGAACTGTCCGGTCGAAACAAAGTGAAAGCAATAAATACCTATGCAGCGTCCGTCCTGACGTATTCATTTGGCGTTATAAAATGGAGTGACACAGAATTAGAAGAACTAAACAGGTTAACAAGAACAACATGTAACAAGTACCGAATACACCATATACACGCGGCAACAGAAAGATTTACACTAAAAAGAAAAGAAGGAGGAAGGGGATTCATGGATCTAAAGAACATGAACTACAAGCAAATACACACACTCAGAGAATATTTCAGAGAGAAAGCAGTTACCAGCCCACTACACCGAAGCATTGTTAACCTAACAACATCAGGTACACCGTTACAATTCAACAATGAAGCATTCATACCAGTTGATGCAATTACAACAACAAACACTAAAATTGAAAAATGGAAATCCAAAGCCCTACATGGAAAACATGCAAACCAACTAACACAACCACACATTGACATAGCAGCATCCAATGCATAGCTTACTCATGGTAACCTGTTTGGAGAAACCGAGGGTTTCATAATAGCAATCCAGGACCAGATCATCGCCACACGTAATTACCAGAAATACATAATCAAAGACCCCAAAACACCTACAGACAAATGCAGACTATGTCACACACAAACCGAAACAATAGAACACATAACCGGGGGATGCCCTATACTTGCTTCCAGACAATATACCCAAAGACACGACGATGTTTGCAGAATAATCCATCAGGAAATAGCAAAGAAATATTCACTCATCTGCTACCATACACCATACTACAAATATCAAGCAGCTAACGTTCTAGAAAATAAGACAGCCAAGCTCTACTGGAACCGGGATATAATCACAGACAAAACCACACCACACAACAAACCAGACATCACGCTCATCCACAAACCAACCAAAGATACATACTTAATAGAGATATCCATACCAAATTCACAAAATGTCAAGAAGAAACACACTGAAAAAATTGAAAAATATATACCTCTAGCAGAAGAAATAAGGCAGATGTGGCACCAGGACATTGTAAAAATTATACCAATAATAGTGTCATCAACAGGACTGATCCCAAGATCATTACATGATAGTCTGAAAGGCCTTGAACTTGCACCAAAACTTTATATACCCATTCAAAAAACAGTTATCCTCCACACATGTAATATTACACGACAAGTCTTAAATACACAGTAAAAAAGCGTTGACGCTTGACTTAAGTCCGCGACTACGTTAAATACCGGAAAGCCCGAGATTCAAGAACATAATAAAGCGTTTATTTCCAACAGGCAATTAGAGCCCACTTACAGGAAATACAATCTTAACAACAGGTTGTTAGTAAACATTAAATATCAAATTTACAAAAACCAAGAAAAAAAAATTACAATAAGAGAAAACTAAACCTAAATTAATCAATCATAATAATAACAACAATAACAAATCATTAATTATAAATTACTATTATAAACAATAGTTAACCATTAATGCCCCCCACCCACCAGTGAGACCAAATGACCCACAGAGCAGTCAAACACATCACAGTCAACGGAGACAGAGTTAAGGTTGCTACACATGGTGAAAATCGGATCCTGAAACCTAACGTTAGTGGCTCGAGGAAGCGCAAAAGTGGTATTCGCTCTGGAGGTAGGTCGTGGCACCCGGAATGGTATCGTTTCCAAAAGAGTTGGGGAATCTATAAGACCATTCAGCAGTTTCCACAGGAAAGTAACTGAGTGAATGATCCTTCTCAAGGAAAGTGGTTGCACATCGAACCGAGACAACAGCTCAATGTGATCCACATCTCTAACAGGGTAAACCCCCTCCTCCCTGAATACCAGTTGCTTTAAGAAACGCCTCTGTACTGATTCAAGGGATGCAACATGACACTGATAGATTGGACACCATACCAAAGATCCATACTCCAGCCTTGACCTGACCAACGAAAAATAGAGCAGCGTGAGAGGTTCAGAACCTACGAAGAGTTTACAGTTACGAATAATAAAGCCAAGAAGTCTTGACGAACTCGCAACAATTTGATCAATATGAGTTATAAAGGTTAGTCGGTCGTCAAATACGACACCCAGATCCCTAAACGTTGTGCTTCTAGACAGTATATTGTTGGCAATACTGTAATCAAACTGCAAAAAGAACGCATACACA